TAACATTCTATTGTATTTGTATTATGAGCTAAATTCTGATACCTTTCTTGCTGTTGAGTAGCACCACCAGGAATAATCCCACTGATGCAATGACATTTTGTTGAATAAGAGTATCAGAATTTGGCCCTGTGAGTGAAATCCTGACCCCTTGAAGTCAATGCTAATATTCCCATTAGCTTCAGCGGACCCAGACACTTGTTCTGGTAAGAATTAAAGTTGATAGCTCAGCCTGGATTATCATTCTTAACTCTAAATTTCTTTGCTCATGGAAGAGTCGGCCAGAGCCTTATAATTCCTCAACATTACATTTGTCAATTAATGTTTCTTCATTTTGGTGGGAGAGCTTTCCATCTTCATGGTAGGCATGTTAAAGTGTGTATAAAATGGCACAGTCCCTATTCTCGTTCCCTAGTTTCATTCATTTCAACCCTATGTATCATTAGGTTTGCTTGGATTGCTTTATTTTAAAACAATCCACATTAATTGTCACTTTGACTGGCTTTACTGTCACTTATGCATTTTGCCCAATTTAAAATATGCCTTTGACCCTATGTATCCTAAGCTTTGTGTGCATTTATATTTTTTCTGGGAGTATTAAAATAATCATTGTAATTACAGAAGACATGTATAGCAGCTGTGTGTGAATTATGTCAGCATAGGGGCCTTTTGAGATATTTACAAATGTCCCACTGTCAGGGATGTGGGTGCCTAGAGGAAACCATCAGTTGTTCAGAACAGCTGGCGGTTCTCTCAGAAGGAAGAGGGAGGGGCAAAGACTTCATGCGTTCCCCCACCCACAGACCAATCAGGTAAACTGAAAAAACAACAAATAGTCTGGTAGCACTTTATAGTCTAATAAAACATGTAGATGGTATCATGAGCTTTTGTGGGCACAGCTCACTTCTTCAGATGACCGGAGTGTTGGATGTCCAGGACCAAAATCAGTAGGGGAGATGGGAGGGAGGGTAGAAGAAGGGAAAATTGGGAGGGGAACAAGAAAAGGCAGTGGGTAAAAAATATATCAAGGGAAAGCCGAGTCTGTAAGCACCTAAATACTAGATAAACTGAAAAAACAACAAATAGTCTGGTAGCACTTTATAGTCTAATAAAACATGTAGATGGTATCATGAGCTTTTGTGGGCACAGCTCACTTCTTCAGATGACCGGAGTGTTGGATGTCCAGGACCAAAATCAGTAGGGGAGATGGGAGGGAGGGTAGAAGAAGGGAAAATTGGGAGGGGAACAAGAAAAGGCAGTGGGTAAAAAATATATCAAGGGAAAGCCGAGTCTGTAAGCACCTAAATACTAGATAAACTGAAAAAACAACAAATAGTCTGGTAGCACTTTATAGACTAACAAAACATGTAGTCTTGTTCCCCCCTCCCAATTTTCCCTTCTTCCACCCCCCTCCCATCTCCCCTATTGATTTTGGTCCTGGACATCCAACACTCCGGTCATCTGAAGAAGTGGGCTGTGCCCACAAAAGCTCATGATACCATCTACATGTTTTGTTAGTCTATAAAGTGCTACCAGACTATTTGTTGTTTTTTCAGTTTACCTGTAGAGACTAACTTAGCTACCCCCTGAAGCTTCAGACCAATCAGGATCTGTGGGTGGGGAATCACAGAAGTGTCCTGGTCCTGCTCCTTCCTACTGAGGCCCTGCCTGTTCCGGGGCAGCCCATGGCCACTTCAAAAATTATTGTTCATGCCTGCTTTAGGTCAGATACAAGCTTCGTAAGTTTGAGATCTGGGGAGCATCTGTGGGGACTTGGGGTATCACTACCGCAGGAAGCATCTGCTGGGTCTTAAGGCTTCATCAGGCGCAGATCAAAACTCCTAAGACCTCCTCACCACTCCTATCCAGTTGCTTCAAGGCAGAGCTCCTGAGCTCTCCCTGACCCCCTTCACACACACACATACAGTCTGGAAGGTGGTGAATGTGGCAAGGCCATATCCTAACTACTCAGTGCTCTCAGTTTGGAGATAAAAAAGATGGGAGAGAGGGTGGCTATAAGTCTCTGCACCCCATACGGAAATATCTGATCTTGTGGTGTTTAATTGAGAATAATAAATTGCCTTTATCATTTAAAATTAACCTATATGGGTATGGCTATACAGCTTCTGGGGTCAACAGATGTGGAGGCAGGCCCACTGAAAACAGCTGTATAGATATTGCTTTTATATTCATATTCAGACTGTTCATTTCCAAAGCTGTAAGTTCCACACTGGCATTTTCACTGTATAAGCATAAAACTTGCTAACACAAGTCTGGCTACCAAGCTGTGAGAGTCACTTCCAGCAGCTATGTAGACATACCCTAATATCATAGGCTTGCAATTTTCTGTGTGTTGCAGTAGATTCGTTTAAAAAGTTAATAGAAGAGTTAGCTTCCTATTTTATGTGGTATTTTTAGAACAATTTCCATAGAACTATATTTAATTAATTCCTATTACATTCTATATAGTAGCAGATTTGCATAAAACATTTTGTTAAAATACTGACATCTTCAATAAAGATTCTAATTTGTGTTGGATTTTTGGCTATTTCCCTAGCAGCTAGTGACAGGGAACTGAAGTTGTATGTTTAAGCCAAAATCATATGCTATAATGAAAAATGTGTCTCTTGTCACATGTGATAGTTAAAGAAAAGCTAAATTGGGTATGTAGTTTCGTGAATTAAAAGTCTGTATATAGTGTTTGTTGTAGTTGCAGGAGCTAATGACAGAATAATCAATGCACATCTGTCAGCTTGTGTGCAAATAAAGAACTGAAGGAAAGCTGATTTTTTTTCCCCCCACTCCTGCTGTGTTTTTCTGGAAATCAGTGTTGAAAGAGCAGTTTATCTAATTCAGCATTTTCTCAACAAATAAGAGTCTTAGTCCAAATTAAGCAACTGCTAGCAAGGTTGCCTACAGTAATCCACTCATGATAATCCTATCACTGAGGGAGAAGATTCACTTGTCTTTAATAAAGAGAAGGTCTGTCATGGGGATGCTGCTTTAGAAATTAACCCCTTTGGTTCATGGGACCTAGAACTTGATTCAGATACGATTAGCGGGATTGGTGTCTACAGTGATCTTCCACTGAAAAAGCAAGATCTACATTTGTCTTCATAACTTTTCCAATCCATCTTTCTGTGATAGGTTGTCACTGGTCATTACTTATTGGGGCTGCAGACACTGTACATAAGGTGGAATTGGGTTATTGTATTTGAAATGGGGTTATCGCAGCTTTGCCACAAAAGACGTGGTTGCTGCAGTGGTGACTATAAAAGGTGTACAAAGGCAGTATTAGTGCCATATAGCTACTGAGTTAATTATAGGTAGCAATGTATTTATGCTTCTTACTAACTGCTCTCAGGCAAGAATCCTCCACATTAGGAACCCCTCTCCTTTCCCAGCCAGCATCTTCAGTACCCTAATTTGCATGATTCGTGTGTAGACAAAGACCAACTCAAGCCCGTACTTTTGGTTTTGGGCAGAGGGTGTAGGTTCATTTTTACATCTGGCTAATGTAAATTGTAAATTAACAGTTGTCTTTGTAAATTTTATTGGAGGAATCTAGAGTCCTGGAGAGATGATCTTTTACCATTTTTACATAAATTAAAATGAATATGTAAAACTATAGAAGGCCCAGTTCTTCCATCCTTACTCATCCTTAGTAGAAAGTAGGTCCGTGCTCAGTGAGTGGACCCATTAAAGCCAATGAAAATACACATGCAGTAAGTTACTGCTTACTAAAGAAGGGTGGCAGAATCTGCCTAATGAGTATTGCAAGAGCTAAGTCAGCAGCATAGTTTCTGACTATAAACATGACAGGCATAATGAGACTTTAATGTTCAAGTACAGACGTAAAATCCTAACTGTTCCCTGAAGCCCTATCCTCATTGAGCCCTCATTTTCACCCATGTTACACACCTATCTTCAGTACCTACTTTATAGCCCCCATCCTGGGGAGATAAGCCTATCAGGATTCCCTCTGTAATCTGTCGACCCCATTCTTCATCAGAGAGATTGATATTGATCATTTCTAATCACTTCCTTCCCCTTAGGGGGACTGTGTGTATTGCTGTCTTTGCACAATTTCCAGCATCTGTTGGCCCAGAAAATAACAACGGACCAACTCCCACATGCAGGATAGGATTACTTTAGACCCATCTCTCCACCTCAGAATTTGAGGAAAAGCTGTGTTGTACAGTGTCCCCACATATAAATGCATTACTTGCTAGAAGAAGGGCATAAAGTGTGCAACAAAACCCTATTACAGGATCTTATTACTCGGAGTGCAAATGTAATCCTATGATATTATTCATAAGAAAAAACACCTTATTTTCACACTTGGAATGTAATTTTCACTGCAAATATGAAATACATTGCAATGAAAAGGGGAATAATGCTTCCTGATTTTCCTTTTATTTCTAATCACCTAACATGTTTCACTTGTGACTGTGCCACCTGAATCATAAATTACTTTGTAATCCCCTTTTAAATATGGCATGGCTTTTCTTTACTCTACTTGCAAGAGATTGTTCCTTTTCTTGCTTTTCTGCATGGGGGCATAAGCCCCCTTGTTCCTTTTGCTTCCCCTCCCCTAATCTTGGGCTCAGGCCTGTTATGGGGCACAGCCTGAGCTCTGTAGTTCAGCCCTTCTATGAGCATGGGGCCCGATGTAAGTTAAACTTTGACATCTCCCACTTCCATTGGCCAGATGTAAAACAGGCAATACACCATATATTTTAAGGGGTTGCTGTAATTTGACTTGGATGGGAGCTGTAAAAGAAACCTTGATGCTCTGAAACACCATTCTTGCTCAGGTCTTCTTCTAGTGAGGTGAAAATACACACAGCCCCATGCTCAAGACAAATGCTAAAGGTTTATCCAGCAGGGAATGTATAAATACACATAAAGGCATCCATCGGCCCCCTGTATACAGTAAAGATATGTGTCTATTTATAACATATTTCCATAATAAAAATTGTTCCCCCTTCTGTGTCTTCTAGGGCCAAAATGTATTTGGACTTGATATAATTGAAACACCTGAGGGAGATAAATGGCCACAGCTGATTGTCCAGCAGATCCTGGACAGAGAGCAGAAAGACACATATGTGATGAAGATCAAAGTTGAAGATGGCGGAACACCTCCTAGATCCAGTACAGCCATCCTACAAGTAACAGTTACTGATGTGAATGACAATCGCCCAGTCTTCAAGGAAAATGACATTGAAGTCAGCGTTCCGGAAAATGCTCCAGTGGGCACTTCGGTTTCTCAGCTCCACGCCACTGATGCTGATCTGGGCTCAAATGCTCAGATCCACTTCTTTTTCAGCAATCAGATCTCCAGTCTGGCCAAAAGGCTGTTTGCCTTAGATAATAGCACTGGCCTCATCACGATTAAGGAACCACTGGACAGGGAGGAGTCACCTGTACACAAGTTAACTGTTTTGGCAAGTGATGGCAGCTCAACTCCATCAAGAGCAACGGTGACAGTAAATATCACAGATATTAATGATAATGTTCCATCCATAGACACAAGATACATCATCAATCCAGTGAATGGGACTGTGCTCCTGTCTGAAAAAGCACCACTCAATACAAAAATTGCCCTGATTACTGTAATGGACAAAGATGCTGATCTGAATGGAAAAGTAACTTGCTTCACAGACCATGATGTCCCTTTTAGGTTAAAGCCAGTGTTCGATAATCAGTTTCTATTGGAGACGGCCACATTTCTAGACTATGAGGCTACACGAGAATACGCTATTAAAATAGTGGCCTCTGATTCAGGGAAACCTCCCTTAAATCAGTCTGCAATGCTGCTGATCAAAATCAAAGATGAGAATGACAATGCCCCAGTTTTTACACAGCCTATCATTGGACTTTCCATTCCTGAGAACAATGCTCCTGGGACCCAGCTAACCAAGATCAGTGCAACAGATGCAGACAGTGGACGCAATGCTGAGATCAGCTATATGCTGGGTTCAGATGCACCCCCCATTTTTAACCTGGACCGCCGCACAGGTGTTCTGACAGCAGTGAGGAAGCTGGACAGGGAAAAACAGGATAGGTACTCCTTCACTGTATTGGCCAAGGATAATGGGATGCCACCTTTGCAGACCAATGCTACTGTGACACTGTCAGTTCTGGATCAGAATGACAACAGCCCTGCTTTTACCCACAATGAATATAATTTCTATGTGCCAGAAAACCTGCCCATGTATGGCACAGTGGGACTTATCACAGTTACTGATGCTGACTCTGGAGATAATGCTGCAGTTACTCTCTCTATATTAAATGGCAGAGATAATTTCATTATTGATCCACTTACTGGTGTAATAAGACCCAATATTACATTTGATAGAGAGCAACAAGGTTCTTACACTTTCCAGGTGAAGGCTGTCGATGGAGGAAGAGTACAACGCTCTTCAACTGCCAAAGTGACCATAAATGTAGTTGACGTGAATGACAACAGGCCTGTTTTTGTTATCCCTTCGTCTAACTACTCCTATGACTTGGTTCCCACAGCCACCAATCCAGGTTCCGTGGTGACTAAAGTCTTTGCAGTTGACAATGATACAGGGATGAATGCAGAGCTCCGCTACAGTATTATAGGTGGGAACTCAAGAGGTTTGTTTACAATCGATCAGTTAACAGGCAACATTACTTTGAAAGAGAAGGTAATCACAGCAGATCATGGCTTACACAGGCTGGTGATAAAAGTCAATGATTTAGGACAGCCAGAGTCTCTCTATACCATTGCACTGGTGCATTTATTTGTGAATGAGACAATCACCAATGGTTCATATGTGCAGGAGCTAGTCCGTAGAAATATGGAAACACCAGTGGGCCAGAATGTTGGGGATGGTGAGATAACCCCACAGACCAATGACTACGTCAAAATCATCATTGCTATAATTGCAGGCACCATGACAGTCATCCTGGTCATTTTTGTCACTGCACTAGTACGATGCCGCCAGACACCCCGACACAAAGTTGTCCAGAAAAGCAAGCAGAGTGGGGAGTGGGTCTCCCCAAACCAGGAGAACCGACAGATCAAGAAAAAGAAGAAGAAGAAGAAGCGCTCTCCTAAAAGCCTCCTTCTCAACTTTGTGACAATTGAAGAATCTAAGCCCGACGATCCTGGCCACGAGCACATAAATGGCACTTTAGACATTCCCGTAGAGCTAGAAGAACAGACTATGGGAAAATATAACTGGGCCACCACACCAACCACTTTTAAGCCTGACAGCCCAGATTTAGCAAAGCATTACAAGTCTGCCTCTCCACAGCCCACCTTTCAAATTAAACCCGAGACCCCGGTGCCCCCTAAGAAGCACCATGTCATTCAGGAACTGCCTCTGGATAACACCTTTGTGGTGGGCTGTGACTCGCTCTCCAAGTGCTCCTCCAGTAGTTCGGACCCTTATAGTGTCTCCGAATGCAGCTGTCAAGGTGGCTTCAAGACTCCAGGCTCCATCCACACCAGACAGGTAATACTAAGTTTCTAGCTGCTAGCTCTCTCTCTTTCTCTGTCTGTACCTCTGAGCTCTGCACAATAACTTTGTCTATAAAGATTAAAAGCCTGAAAGTTCATGCTTGGCTGAAACATTGAAATATAAACAGTTTGTGATTCATCAATGTTAAAGAGAGAAAATTAGAATAAAGTGACTCTTGGCTGTGGGGAAATTTAGCACTGAATGATTATATTAAGCGGATATTCCTGTCTGTAGATGGCAGTATGGTACTTCCTGCATTAACATAGTATTTAGCTGTGCAGCTCTGTAAAACAAAGAGAGGTTGTAGCACTGTCCTCCCTAGTATTGTGTGCTCAGGAATCTAAGTAATCTAGGCCAGGTGGAAAGCAATAAAGCTTTGCAGTATCTGATAAGTGGTTCTTAATGCTAATGGAATCTGGAATTGGAGCCTTCATTTGGACAGACTGTACCTGAAGGTCTCTCGAAAGCAGGCAAGATTTTTTTATTCCCGAGAGATTAAGTGCCATTTTCAGACTAGAAACATGCCCTACTATGTGGGCTACTAAGTGGACTGACTGACATAATCAACAATATAAAGCAGCACTGGAGACAGTGGGAAAATCTGCAAACATCCCAAGCATTGCCCTCATTTTGTCACCTTTATGCCCAAGTACAGACACTAGCTGCAATAACACGCAGAGCAGCAGTCATATCAAAGGCCCTCAGATTAACAAAGAGGGCAAATTATCCGATGATAATTAAAAACTGTTTTGCTTTTTCAGACACTAATGGGAATCACATCAGAATTGAATCTAGATTCTTAAATGGTGTATTAGTGCATTTGTGATAAGGTTTTGTTATTTATCTGAATTTTTTGTCCATCAGTAGCCTATCCTCAGTAGAAGGAAGAGTCCCACACTTTTATTTGAGTTAGTGATGAGGTAAAAGAAGGAAATAAAATATTACTGATGATGAAAAGATGGGGTTCACTTCATTTTTTTCTTGTACAGGGCCAGATCCACAGCTAGGGTACATTTGAGTGGGCTTTAGTAATGCTTTGATGATTCACCCTAGCTGAGGATCAGGCCCACAGGCATTAGACCAAGTGTCAGGAACCTTTGGCACATGGCCCATTAGGGCAATCTGCTTGCAAGGCCATGAGACATTTTATTTATGTTAACTGTTCACATGCATAGCCTCCTGCAGTTCCCAGTGGCCATGGTTCGCAATTCCCACCCAAGAGGAGCTGCGTAAAGCAGCAGCTAGCACATCCCTGCAGTGTGCACCACTTCATGGAGTCCCCATTAGCCAGGAACCGTGAACTGCAGCCACTGGAGTTGCGGGATGGGGTGGAGGTCTGTGTCTGCGGACAGCCAGTGTAAATAAAATGTCTTATGGCCTGCTACTGGATTACCCTGATGGGCCACCTGTGTGCCAAGGGTTGCACCAGGGTTGACTTATTTTTTGGTAGGCAGTTTTGTTAATGATGTGGTGGAAAATAAAAGGGCCAGGGGCTGAAGAAATGTTCTCATTCAAACTACATCTGTACAGCAAGCAAAGACTGCTGTTGCCTTTTTTTCCTTTCTTTTTACTTTTAGCATAAGTGTGTGAGGTAGACAACATCCCTGCTCTGTATAAAGCATTATATTTGCTGAGAGACATTAACAGAAAATGGAATAGAAAAGGATTTCTTCATATTTCTCAAACAGCAGAGACAAAGGGAGGAGTGGTTTGCAGCCTGTTAAAGATTTGAATATCTTCTGTTAAAGTTATTTGAGTCAATTCATTTTCAATTTAAATTAGGCAGTAGAAGAACTCTTTATATTTGTTTGAGTGTGTGCATAATGTGTGTGTTGATGTTAGTCTGGAAGGTGAAGGTTGTTTTCTTAGCACCTATTGAGTCCTGATCCAAAATTTGTTGATGGTGACAGTTTTTCTATCAAATTCAGAGGGTTTTGGTTCAGTCTCGGTGAGCCAAAATAATCCATGGTTACCTGCTCAAAGGCCCTGCATTTTGTCATCTTTCCTCCAGCTGAGACAGCTATGTCTGTAGCATTCTCTGGAACCATTCAACCATCTGCCAAAGAGGGCTGGTAGCAAATGCAGAGATGGGGGCAAGGGAATGAAGGTCCTCCCTTCTCTGTGCTTCTAGCCCCTGTGGACTGAGATCAGGGTGCTCTTTCCACCGTCACGTGGCACAAAAGCACATTGAAATATTCATCACCCCAAAATTATTTCAGGGCAATATTGTGAATATAATGAGAAATTTGTGCAAGGTGGGATTGGGGAATTGATTTTGCTTAAATCTACAGTTCTCCCTCTTTAGACTTAAACTTTGTGTCCTGGTAGTGAACACAGAGATGAGGAAACTTTAACAACATATAATACGATGGCTTTTACATTCACTTGAAAATAGCATTTCCTATAAACATTGAAATTAATACTCTCCTTACTTAAACAAAACATGAACAATTCTGGTAGGGTGCGTCTAGACTACAGGGTTTTATTTTAAAAAAACGTCGTTTTTTTCTGAAAAACTTCACGTGTGTCCACACTGCAATCGCATTCTTTCAAAAGAAAATTGAAAGAACGCAAGGGTTTTTCCGACATTGGTGAGGAAGAACGCCTTTTCAAAAGAGCTCTTTCGGAAAAAGGCGTGTGTGGACATGGAAGAGGGAGGGTTTTTTGAGAGAAGAGGGAAGAAGAAAAAGCACTGGTGGCCATTCTGTCCATAGCAAGCACTGCTTACATGTGAGATAACGTCCAGGCAGTCTGGATGCTATGTTTCGAAAAAGCGCAGCGCTTTTTCAATATGCTTTTGCAGTGTGGATGCCCTTTTTCGAAAGAAGTTTTTTCGGAAGATCTCTTCCAAAAAAGCTGCTTTCTAAAGAAGCCTGCAGTCTAGATGTATCCCTGGTGAACCTATGTACGTATTGACACAAGAAAGGAATTAAGGGGCCTTTGTGTTGGATTTTACTAAATAAAGGTAATCGTATATTTAAGAAAAGTAAAAACAACCAAATTAACTGTTGTCCTGCAGTTCTAAGGGATAGTTTTAAGCAGGCAAATTTGTTCCTAATAATAAAAGACACCAAAATGGCCTCATCTCCATTTAGTAAAATGAATTGGAGTGCATGACTGAAGGCAGGATAATTTGAAGTTTTCAGTTAGTTCCGTTAGCTTGAGGGGAGATCAAAAAAACTTTTTTTTAAAGCCCCTGATAGTACTGCAATACTTCTGTTGTCATGCTATTCACAGAACCTTGGAGATTAATGACATGTTGGAGATTAATGCTACTTTTGCGTTATGCATTCACTGACTTTGCAGAAAGCTGTAGGGCAGAGCTCAGTCCTGCTGGAGAAGTTACATTAAAAACTCAAGTACTTTAGTGTTGAAAAATAAATAGTGAAGGTCTCCAAATAGAAAAAATATGTGGTTCTTCCTGGCACTAGCTATTATTGCAATCTATCAGTTTACAAACAAAAAGCTTTCTTGAAGGATATGACTGAGAAGGAACAAAATTATTCATTCAGTTTGCCCACCCCAAATTTCAAAGGTTGCTGGGATAAATGACTCTCAAGTTAGAACTGCCTTTGATTTTGTTTCTGCACAATCAAGATCTCACTCAGTCATTATGAAACAAAAATACACCCTCAGTTTGACCATCTCTATATGAAACAGAATTGAGTTATCACTGAATATGTGTCTATGGACCCACCAAAGCTTTAAACTTTGCCACCTGGCCTATCTACATACAGAAAACCTGCTAAATCCTTATACTATTTGTTTTAAGATGTGCTAAGTATATGTATATTTAGAGAGAAACACAGAAGAGTTTTTGAAAATTTGTCATTAAAAAACTGACACACCTTGAATGGCCAAAGAGAAAAGGAAATAAGTATCATAACAGTCAGCCCAGGGGAAGGAATGAGGATGTTACTGGGGTAGTGTAGAATGGTTGAAGAAGGAAAAATACACAATGCCTCTTATGTGTATGTAGGGGGAAGAACAATAATCCATATTATTTTTTTAAAAAAGTCATTTCACAGTACTTATTTAATCTATCATAGTGGCCACAAATACATGGAAATTTATAGAATAGCAAGTGTTCTTTTGTGAAGTATTAGAAATTAATGTTCTAAAGAAGCTTTTCAAAGTGATAGACTGTGAAGAAACTAATTGCTAGTAATAATGCAGTGTTTTCCAGGGTAGGACAATTAGGGACTCGTAAAGTAAAGGTGACATTGAGTGTCTTCCAAGTATTCAACTTTTTATTAGTCAACTTTGGTAAGTGTGCTGAGGGGGATATAATTGTTTGCTAGAAAGAAGAACAAGAGAACAAACTCAAAACCTGATCCTTCTGCCATTGAAGTCAATAGGACTTTTGCCATTAAGCTCAGTGGGAGTAAGATAAGACTTTTAATAAAATGCCCTGATAAAGTTGTACCTATATCCTGTTTCTCTCTCTCTCCCTCTCTCTCTCTCTGCATTTGTCATTCTGTATTCACAATAGGAAGTGAGTAAAAATAGACAGAGAGAGGCACTATGAGTTGGCATTATGTGGTTTACGTGTTGGTGTTTGTAGAGCATAATTTTCAAGCTCTATGGCCAAACAGTTGCTTAAAACAGCACATAGGTGCCTCAAATGGCTATCTGGTCATCAATATGTATATAGGAAGTATGGACAACTGTAGAACCTGGTGCTCTAAAGTGAATATCAAATTTGAAAACTGGCAAAAATGAGACAAAATGCTAAAAAGCTTCTTTAAAACTTGCTGTCTTCTCGAGTGCTGTCCCTCCTCTCCTTGTTCCATTTCATCTTTTTCACATTCCTGCAAATATTCTTGTCCAAAAGAGCCTGCACGTGACCCTTCTACCAGGCTAAACCCTGGGATCTGGGAAATGTTGGGCAATCAACACCCTTCCCCACCAGCTAGTCAGTGAGTGTCAGAGGCAACCAGGATGAAGGGCTTCCTAAAAGCGAGTGCCCTCCCTCTCTCCCATGTTGCTAGGACTGGCCTCTTTTTCTGGCATCCCCATTAGATTTCCCCCACCTGTTGAGGCAGATGGGTAGCATTTCCTGAAGAACACACTGTGATTATATTATGGCTGTGTGATTTTTTTTGCTAATGGCACTCCTCACTCCAGGAGGTAAAAATGAGACCATCTGCACTCAGAAAGCAAAGGGAAGCATAACTGCGCAGGAGAGCAACAATAGGAGAGAGAAGCGCATTTTTGTAAAATATGATTATTTGTTTTCCAGCAGATGTTTTTAAAGAGAAATGGGTACATTTATACAATTTATGTAGCTTCAGATTAATACATGGAGTGACCTGATTCAAGGTTCAAATTTTACCCATATTTTTAATAATAGAGTCCTAAGTATCATGTGTAGGATCCTACCAAATTCAGGGCCCACTTTGGTCAATTTTGCCATTTTTTAAATTCCATGACTGTGAGCTTCATGATTCATCTGTTTAAATGTGAATTTTCCTGGTGGTGTTATTGTAGAGGTCTTGACTGAAAAAGGAGATGTTGGGGAGCACGGCAAGATTATTACAGGGGGGGTTGTGGCACTGCTGTCCTCACTGGTGATGGTTGTGGGGGGATGCAGGGTTGGAAGCACCCCCAAGGTGGGAGAGACCAGCCAGCAGGAGGGCCTGTGCTGGCAGCAGGAGTCTTTGCTGCATGTCCCCACCCCCGACCTCTCATCGACAGTGCTGGCAGGGAAGGTGCAGGCCAGGCAGCTCCCCAGCCCTGCCGCTCCAAGAAATGTTAGAAAGAGGCAGGGCAGCGGGGAGTGGAGCAAGGGCAGGGCCATGGTGGAACAAGGAGTGGGGAGAAGTGGGAATGGTGCCCCTCCATTTCCCCTGTCTGCTACCGTTCTAGGCTTCTTCAGGCAGCAGTGCTGCCTTCAGAACTGGGCAGTTGGAGAGCAGTGGCTGCAGAGGCCGCTACAACCACAGGTGCTACCAGCAGCAGCACAGAAATAAGGATGGCATTTTTTAGCATTGGCACACTTATTTCTGCGCTGCTGCGTGCAGAGCTGGACCCACTGAAGGCAGAACAGAAGTAAAGGCCCTCTGAAAGTAGCACAGTAACACTGTGACCCTCTTAAAATAAGGGACCCCCATCAAATCCCTTCTATAGTCACAGCCCCCAATTTGAGAAACTCTGGTTTCTCCCATGAAATTGATATAGTATAGAATAAAAGTACACAAAAGACTAGATTTCATCGGGTGGGGCAGGGAGGGCAGGGGACACGACGCCAGATTTCACAGTCAGTGATGCATTTTTTCATGGCTGTGAATTTGGTAGGGCCCTAACTATGTGGAGTTGCTGTGGTTTGCAATGTGTGAGTTGAATTTAATGGTTTTGTCTAGTTCTGTCTGGACCCATGTCCCCAAACACAGAGCAACAAATAAATGCCTCCACCAGAAATGGCATTGCTGTTGTTACAGACCTGAGCATGTTGGTCAGGGATTGAAAAGGCATGGAGCCGGAACTCCTCCAGTCTGGCTCCAAGTTACGAATGAGCCACGTTGGTGGAGCAGCATGGGTAAATGTTCAGTAGTGCTGCCAGTGGTGTAGCTGCTCTGTTTATAGAGGCCTGCAGTTGCCAGGGCTATCCATCAGGGAGCTCTCATCAGCAGGTACACTCACAGATATGAAGGATGATAGGAATGGTACAGATGTTTTTCATTGACACTTGGTAGTTGGGGACACTATCTGAGATCTTCAAAGAGCCTAAGGGTGTTAGATGTTCTAATGCCATTGAATAAAAACAAATAAAATGAGAGCCAACCCCCTCTGGAAATAAACTGCTTTGGTCACTGCTGGTGGCTTCAGTATACTTGCAATCACGTAAGTGGTAAATTTAGCTCAGTGTGGTTATGCTTCAAAATGTGACTGTGAAGCTCCATATTTATTTCTCAGTTCTTCTGGGAGCCACATTACTTTAGGGTACAAGTAAAAGCACCCTCCTCTTCCCCCCGCCCACCTCAGAGTTAAACTGGAAAAAGATATACAATTTGCAGTTTTCAAATTGCGTATCTTTTTCCAATGTTCTTTCGGAAGAGGTTTTTCCTAAATTTGGCGCATCTAATTTCAGTGTTTAGCCTGGTATCCAGTCACTGATAACAACCACAAGGGCGACTGGTGCTTAGTGGGGAGGAGTGCAGGGAGGGCCAACCGGAGAAGTGGGGAGCAATTAACATTTTGGTGGGAGATGTAGAGGGCAGTGAATCTCCTGAGTGGTATCACGAGTCACCTATGCTAATCAGATATTTTAAAGAAAGTTCAGGAAACCTTATCACAAGCAATTATGGGATAATTTATCTGGGGGAGGTTTGTTTCTGAATCTCAGTGGTTCAAGAAATGGCCTTCAAGAAGTATTTTGCTCCTTTGAAAGTATTTGCTGTTGTAATTCTATTTACTCTTGTTGTTTTGATCTTTTCTGGCTTGAACATCATCACTGGTAATCTTGGCCCAACTGCAGTGTACTAACCTATATGTGTGGTTAAGGAGCAGTTATGAACATCTTGAGATGTTCTGCACTTGAACTTTAAAGCAGATTGTGAACCTCTTGCTAATGTATGTAAGAAGTTCTACTGAAGTAAGGCCGAACAAAAGAAGTATTTTTTTCCATGGGACATTTAGAAAAGGTGGGGGTTTTTTATTTCTTGGGGAAATAATTCCATTTTCAACTGAAAATCAAAATGGAAAATCAGACAAAATTTTCAGAGTTTATTTTTCATGCTCCCCACCTCCCCCGCTCCAGAAAAATAAACATAAATTTTGGGAATTGGAAAAAGGGATAGAGCCAGAAAACTGAAAAAAAACCCTTTTGTGTTAAAAAAGTGAAACATTTTGAATTATAGCAATAGCTTTATTATTTTTTTAAATTTCACCCTCAATATATGCGGAAAGCATAGCTGTTGAGGAGGGGCCCGTTTGCACTTTGCTGCTCATGATCTTACTTTGATTCAGTTCATAACCATAGTACATAATGTAACTCATAATTAGTGAGATCTGATTTAGCATTTACCATGATTTCTCACATTTATTTCATCTCCTGTTCTCTCACAGAATTTTTGACAATCACTGATAGTGATGGGCAGCCTACAGCAATGTCCTTACCACTGGCTAGTCTCTTCTTGGTGAGCTTGTTCCCCTATAGCATTTTCTTGCCCATTGGGACAGTTGATCTGATTAGCCATTCACTTCCCCAACATTTTCTAATCCTGATATACTTGATTGGTGGTGCCAGAAGTGGAGCAAAGTGACTAATAGGCACAAAGTTTTAAATTGTTGTGAATTGTGGCCTAGAAGCATGTCAAGTGCCTGCTGAAACCTTGTCCGACACAATTACGTGCATTTGCTCATATTTTGGTGTTCTAGATATAGTACACATAGCTAGGGATTCAGTTTTTGCTCTGATAAAATAACGAGGGAACTGATAATTTACTATTATTTAGTATACCAACCATTCTTCTGACTCTGTTCTCAGATTCAGTGCTTGTATGTGAACATACACAAACATGTGTGCACATATAGATATCCTTTATTAGAAAATTGTTGTAGAAGTAAGTCTACTTCCACAGAACACATAGGTAGTGACCTAGTTGAAATTTGACAGGCAAACATTGTGGTATACGGGATGCAGGAAATGATGCAGGAAAGGGCTTTTCTCATGCTGTTTCTCTGTTTGCCAGCTCTGAACGTCATCGCATCTGATGTTATGTACTGAAGTCGTACGTGTACACAATGATGTTAAGCCAGCAAACATGAAAACATGGAAATAGCACGAGAAAGCCCTTTGTCCTGTCTCTGATTGCCGAAGAATTTTATCGTCTGATCTCCAGAGGGGTTTGGAAGTGCGCTGAACTGTTCAAGCTGCCCTACGGAAAGGTATCCAGGGCAAGATTTTTTTTTTTAAAGAAAGAAAAAAAGAAAGACAAAGAGACTTTAGTACGTTGTGCTATAGTGTTCTATAATGTTGTTTTGCAAAGGAAAACAAAGTAATATGACCCATCACTCTGTCTGAATGATGGTTATGATAAGATAAATTTATTGTTTTTCTTACGTTGCTTGTAAACACATTCTTGTTCAAGGACCTTTGTCCTTATTTATTTGTGTTGAAAAAAATGGTTGTGTTTTTTTAATGTCTATAAATATTGAAAAAGGGAGCAATAAATTTTATGCATACATTTAAAAAGAAAGAGAATGTAAAGTTCTTTATACTCCCTCCATTTTTAAAATCACGTACATGTTATCACTTTACTTATATCACCATAAGCCATTTGTGGATTAATTATTATTTATAGTTATTTCCATAAGATTTTTAATACTGATATTGCTGCTATGGACCTTAACTACAAATGATCAAACCATTGCTGTTTATTTCTATACGCTCAATAGGATTAGTGGGAAAATAACTACTTCCTGCTTTCTTATTCACAAAACTACTAAAGTAAGCATTCACCCTTCAAAGTTACTGGTGAGTGTTCACTTACTCTTAAACTAAACATTATTTTATCTTAGGCTTACTGAAATCTTGATACCGTGTGTGTACTAGGTGCCATATGCTTAATCTTTTCAAGTACGTTTGTTTAAAAAAATTAAAAAGGCTTGCTCATAGAATGATAAAGTAGAAAATACCATTAATTTAATTACACTTAAAAATATTGCAGCTTTAGCTAGCAAAAGGGAAAAAGTGCAGGCTGGTGTTGTTTGGAGCTATTTAATTATTTTGGTTAACTTTAATTTTCTAAAGTTAAATTGCTTTACATTATGATTTGTTGTTTAGCACATCTGATTTAGAAAACAGAATTAGCCTAACACGTTCAGTTGCAACTTGGTTACTGGTTCTTGTATATTTATTGCATCACATCAGAGGTAGTAATGCTTAAAAAGGTGTGTGCCTCATTTAACAATTTTTGTGTGTCATATACAGTGACAAAATTATTAAGAAGCAGAAGGAGTATAAAGAACTCTGTTTTCTGCACTTATATGGAAACTCATAACAGTCGTTCACTAGAATGACATGGGGCATAGTCTTTAATTTCTAACTCAGCTGTATACAATATGTGTAATTTTCTTTAAATGGAAAAATATTAATTATTCATCAGTTAGACTATCAAACGCTCAAATGCTACTGTATGTTTGATGTAAAAGTATTTAAAACAGGCTTGTACGTAAATATTTTCATTGCCTCAGTTCTAGGATTGAAGAGTATCTACAATGACGTTCCCTTCACAATTGCTATTTGGCTTTTTTTTTTAAATGGCTATTTGGCTATGTTAGCTGTAAAATATAATAAATTTTATTAATAATGAAATATGTATTGTAATTTAGCATATTGTATTGCATAAGCATAGAAATGACTGTTGTAGATGAATATTTCATTTGTTATAATGAAATCTTTTTCCTGGGAAAAAGATGATTTATTTACAATACAGTTTCATCATTCATATTCACTGTCCTTTTGCAGTACTGATTCTGCAAGTTAAATGAGCAACAAGTTTCAACAGTAACGGTACTTAGTGAGTTTTCTTTCTGCATCACAGTTTAGCCATTTCTTTTGGCTTGTAGCCTGCATTTCACAAAGTAGAAATGGAGGGAAGTCTTTACGTTTTATGTACTAATATGGATGACAATGGGTATCAGTGAGAGAGTTTGGTCTAACAAATGTGATCAGCACCTTTTCTTATAACTACTTTTTGCCTAAATACCACATATTGTGGATCATTAATAAAGGAAACACCCAACTGCTGATGGTGTAAAGAACTGCTTCTGTACACACTACTGCAGTTCAGACAGGTTTCAGAATACTTTTTTTGAATCAATTAGAATCATAGAATCGCGGGGCTGGAAGAGACCTCAGGAGGTCATTGAGTCCAACCCCCTGCCCAAAGCAGGACCAACCCCAACTAAATCATCCCAGCCAGGGCTTTGTCAAGCTGGGCCTTAAAAACCTCTAAGGATGGAGATTCCACCTCCCTAGGTAACCCATTTCAGTGCTTCACCACCCTCCTAATAAAATATTTTTCCTGATATCCAACCTAGACCTCTGCCACTGTAATTTAAGACCATTGCTTCTCATTCTGTCATCTGTCACTACTGAGAACAGCCTCTCTCCATCCTCTTTGGAACCTGCCTTCAGGTAATTAAAGGCTGCTATCAAATCCCCCCTCACTTTTCTCTTCTGTAGACTAAATAAGACTTTTGGGGATTTTGAAGGTGAAGACTATCCATAGATAAATTACAAAATTGAAACATTCAGGTTTGATTAGGATAAGCACCCAAAAGTTAACTTCTTGAGTCTTGCAAATAACGAGTTGGAAATATTATGAGAACAAGCTTTCTCATTAAATTCCTGGCACTTTCATTTTTGGTTCTGGGTAGAAAATTCTCAAGACCTACTTTTTTCCTGGTATTTTGGTGATTATGATGTCAGTTACAAACTGTAATGGGAAGGAAAAACATGATTTTATAACTTTAAAAAGGCTAGGTTTAGAGAGTCAGAGAAGGTTCAGTAGGCTGTTATTTTTTTCCAGACTAGTAACCTCTCTGTAAATGGAAAAGTTTGGTTAGTAAGTAAAACTCAGCTCCTCAGCCATATTTAGGCTCTTAAGTCTCATTGAAATCATAAAGATTTTGTGCCTGAATCTCTCTTTATGCTCTGCATCATTCCTCACATAAGTCAGGAGGGTGACATCCATCAACCAGTTTTTCCACAAAAAAGCAAATGACACAGCCAATGCAGTAGGAAAACAATATTTTAAGAATTTTTTAAGTCCCATACCTGATCACTTTTATTATGGGACGATCCCTTTCATTCTTCCTGGCTATGCATTTAATTTTTTTGGGGGGGGGGGGGGGTGAAGAGGAGCAGGTACATCTATGCATTATTTTTAAAAAAAAAACTCCTTGGCAGACTAACAGAAGACTTGTTCTGAGAGCTTTTTGCCTATTGTGTGGCATAAGTGGACTCTCAGTCTCATCAATGACTACTTTTCAAATATGTACAGGTTAGTTTAGTTCTTCACTGATCTTAGGAAGTGGAAGGATAATTGTAGTGCCAATCAAGAGGGGGAAGAAACTGTGGATAGGTTCTTTTTGAAACTTTTAATGAGGATTTGTATCCTGAACCAGAACTAGACTTATTGTCACCAAAACCAGTGTGATTCCTGTGTTGTGTTCACCTATAGAAGTCCTGCTGCTTCCTACCGAATACAGCCCATAGTCAATTAAGAGCAAAAGTTCTGAACAAGTGCAAGTACTGTAAATCATATAAATTCTGACTTTCTAATGGAAGACTACATATATTTTCTTTTTCAATAGCCTCCCCATATTCATCTTAGTTTAGCTACACTGAAATGTCATCAGAATTTAGATTTTATTGTTTTATTAGATTTTATTATCTCAGCAAACCTCATGAAGAAGTATATTTTGTATTCAGTGTATATGACACTCCTAATTTCATTGCTGGCAGTTGAGTTTGTGTATAGAAGGGATACTAAAATATCCTTATGTTAGTGGCAGTACTGTAACTTGTTCAGCAACTCAGCAACAGAGTAGGTAAGCTTTACTGACTTTAGCCCTACAATATAAATAGCCAAAGATGGCCCTCAAATATACTGCTCTAGAACGTTATAAATGCCTGGATGATATATGAATGCATGTCTACCAAAGTTTAGTGCCATTCCTAATCTGAAACAGATGTTGTTTACCCTGATTTCAAGTCCATAACAATAAAAAAAGGAAGGGAGAGGTAATATCATTTATTGGACCAACTTCTCTTGGTGAAAGAGACAAGCTTTGGAGTTCATACAGCTCTTCTTCAGGTCTTCATTTTTTTCAAGTTGTCATCTTCTGAAGAGCTCTGTGTAAGCTTGAGAGCATGATTTTTTTTTCATCAACCAAATTTGGTCCAACGAAAGACACAATCTCATCCATTTTGGCTTTCTAATATACTGGTACCAACACAGCTACAACGTTCCTGCAAATAAGCAAAAGCTAGTACTAGAAATCACACGTGGCATGTAAAATGCATCTTGTGTGAAAGCTACATGTAGATTCTCTGTAATAATAAAGAATATATTAGATGAGGGAGGGAGAAATTGTTGTAGTCCTTCTGAATTTCATTAACCAGAGGACTGCAAACACGTAATAAGGTGCTGTCAAAATCTAAACTGGTATGTAATGCAAAATAATTTTAACATATACTGTAATACAGGTCTCTTTATCTTAAGCGTTTCAGTGTTTTCTGTTTCCTGCATATATTTATGGTACATCCTGGTCTTACGTATTATTTGTAAAATATTTTTTAACAAAGATTTTTTTAAATATATTTTTTTGCTTTCAAACTGAATTACAAGCACTGTTCCTTTTATGTCTTATTTATCTACTTCCAAAATAAATTCTGTTTGAAGACTACTTGAATATCCTTTGGAGACGCACTATTTTTAAATTCTACTATCGGTCTATTAACTCTCTTTTATAAAATACACGAACACATAAATACATACAAACAAACACACAAATTCTTTTGACAGAAATTAGGAAGAAAAAAAATTATTAAACTCACTTTGCCACAAGTGAAATATTATAAAGTGGGTTAGTGATCTCTAATAAAGAACATTACAGTACTCCCAAGACCATGTACTCTAGAGTAGCTCCTTTCTGTTTTCTGTCTTTCCTCACAGAAATCCTACCAAAGGATAATTTATTTACTCAGGGAATATTCAAGAATAGTTAATCATCTTCTACTGAGATAGAAAAGTTGTCATTACATGTGGTCTGTGCATATTTAAATTAGGGATGTAAAATCCCGATTAATTGGTTAGCCAGTTAAACATATTGTTTAACCGGTTAACCGTTTAAAGTGGGGTTGCCAGGTGTCTGGTTTTGAACCGGACAATCCAGTATTTGAGGTTTCTGTTCGGGAAACAAATTGAAAAAATATAAATGAGAAAATATAAATGTCTGGTATTTCTAAATAAGATGTAATGTAGATTGTGATGTAATGTCAATGTGTCCGGTATTTTTGTTGAAATCTTTTGGCAACCCTTGTTTAAAGTGGGGGAATAGATGGGGACCTCTTCACTGCAGACGACAGGTGGGGAGGGGGCTGCACTAGCTGGGCAGGAGCCAAAGCAGCCCCATTAAGAGTGAGGCTTACCAGCAAACTGATTAACCAATTAAACAATCACATCCCTAACTGAAACACAATATGTTGTGTATATAATATATTATCGAGTATGTAAGTAAAATTGTGTGACTAGATTTAACATATTTTAGATTGTTATTAGGAATGGCCATAAAACGACTCCGTTTTGCAACACACTTTGGCATTCTGAAAGCAGTTTTGCACAATGGAAGAGAGAGACAAGTTGTCTGTAGCCCAGTGACAAGGGTACTGGCACAGACTTGTGTGTCTTTATCTTCTCCTCTGCAGGTATTCAAGGCACAGTTTTGCATCCAGAGCACTCCTTGTGTGGCAGAACCAGAACTTCAACCCTGTCTCCCCCATGCCCCAGGCCAATGCTATAACCATCAGGCTATATAATGTGTGTGTGTTTCTTTATCTGACTCCTTCTCCGAGAAAGCTTACTGAGATGAAGAACTTTACTTTACCCCTTGTTTTATGTTTGTTCCTTCCATATGACATTATACTTTGTTCTTGACCTGATTTCTCCAGTCTAGCCACATGTATGCATAAGGGAGCTCATCTCAACAGGACTACATGTTGTTTTGATTGTCCATATCACTCTGTTCTATCTGAAGCAGGCAACTGAAGATAAGATGCAGGCTAGTAATCCCATTGACATAATTGTGGGATTTAATAACTCCCAGGATGGTTTTACTTCTCTTCCACTTATTGGGATCCATGGACTGTTAATCTCTCATTTGCCTCTTTCGCCCCTCCTCTGCTTACCCCCACCATATGAACTCTTGTGGGTTTAAAAAATCACAACAAGTTCAGGTCTCAGATACCTCTCACTCAGGTGAACCAAATAACCACTGACAGAAGTATTTCAGGAAGGTGACGGACATTCAGTGCCTCATTTCTTTAACCACCCTCCCCTTTATATCATGGTTTGAACAACCAGAAATCATATTGGGATAAGAGAAGCTGTCACTTAAACTCCTTGAATAAGCAGGTATCATTTAACTACTTTCAAGTATGCAGCCTTAATGAGAAAAATGCATTCTTTCCTATTTTTACACACAATCTGGGTGGGAATTAATGTGAGCATTATATAAGAACTCCCACCCCAAAAATAACACTGCTTATTTGCCACGGTGAATGTTACCAGCTATTAATAATCAAAATACATAATTAATATCATAAGCTACTTAAATACCGACAAAGCAGATATGAAATAATCTGAAGATGAAGGTCATTCAGTCTCTCAAGCAACTTCTTAAATACTAGAAATGGAACTATGACACTGAATGATGAATGCTTTCTAGAGATGTACATGGTTACCACTGAATGCTACCTTGTTGTGATCACTCTGTGTTTGGCGAGTTTGCCAACGTTCAGAACTTAACTGCAATACTTCTCTTTGGATTAAAGGGACATTCTTGCGTACATTTAAGTAAGTGGATAGATTTCATTTTGTTTGTGAAAACTTTAAAACAATTCTTGTTGGACTTAACAATACATTCATCTAGCCAGACGGAGGTTCTTGTACTCCTACGTGTGAAGAAGCAAGACTAGAATTTAGAGATAATCCATCCAGAAGAAACATTTAAAGAGAAATAGGTAGAATTTAAAAGTATTATGCCCTCTTGTTCTAATTTAAGTGAAAGTAACTGCCCCACAGATGCTAGATGACATAGATCAGGTATGGGAGAAATCAGGCCCAGAGACCAGATCCTACCCACCAAGCCTTT